TCGAGTATTTCTAGAACGCACAAAAACCCAAATTATTTTTTTCTGCTTGCTTATATATCCACTACTTCAGCTTCAAAAAAATGTATAAATAGGACACCATTACCGGGAGATACATTCATTTGAATACGAACTGTCGAAGAGAAAACATCAAAATGGAGAAAAATGAAATAAGAGCTGTCATCAAGTACCTCTGCCTGAAAAAAATGTCTACCAAAGACATACACAGCGACTTAGAGGAAACATTGGGGGAGTCTGCTCCTCCATATTCCACAGTCGCACGCTGGGCAAAGGAATTAAAGCTGGGCAGAACCTCCACTGAAGATGAACATCGCGAGGGACGCCCTTCCACGTCCCTTACTGGAGAAAACGTCAAAAAAGTGGAAGATATCGTGTTGGCCGATCGAAGGGTGACCGTAAGGCATGTAGCTGAGGTCACAGGGATCTCCTATGGCAGCGTTCAAAAAATCATTGTCAACAAAATGCATATGAAAAAGGTCTCTGCGCGTTGGGTACCGAGAATGTTAACCGACGAGCAAAAAAAGAAACGAGTCGACATTTCGAGGGTGAATCTTCAAAAGTTCCAGGCCGATAAAGAATTTTTTTTATCGCGTTTTGTGACCATGGACGAGACCTGGATCCACCACTTTGATCCCGAAACCAAACAACAATCAATGACTTGGAAACGAGCTTCCTCACCAACGCCGAAGAAATTCAAAGTGTCAAGTTCAGCGGGAAAGGTTATGGCGTCTGTTTTCTGGGATGCAGAAGGAATTATTATGGTGGAATATTTGGAAAAGGGGGCCACTATAACAGGCTCTTACTACGCAGGCCAAATAAGAAGATTGCGAGAAGCTATTAAGTCAAAAAGACGCGGTAAACTGCGCGCTGGAGTGCTGTTTCACCAAGACAACGACCCGGCTCACAAAGCCGCAGTTGCGATGGCTGCCATTGAAGAAACGGGGTTCGAACTGCTCGAACACCCTCCCTATTCGCCAGATCTAGCTCCCAGTGACTTCTACCTCTTTCCTCGGCTCAAAGAACACCTCCGGGGCAACAAATTTGAGGACAATAGTGAAGTGATGGCCGCAGTAGAGGCATTTTGGGAGGGTCAAGACAAAGAATTTTTTTCTAAGGGAGTCATGGGCTTAGAAAAAAGATACACTAAATGTATTAACTTGCAAGGAGACTATGTTGAAAAATAAAATACTTTTTTTAATCTAATAGTTCTGTTTCATATTGATTATCATTACTTATTGATCACCCCTCGTATGTAGGTACGATCTATGTGTTTACCACACAAGAAGGTAGGTAGGTACCTACCCACTTCAAATCTAACTCAACATATAGGTACCTATGAATAACAAACAACGATCAAAATATTTTTTGAGTTCTAAGTAAAATGAAATGAAAAATATTAGACTACTTAAAAATCAATCAAATTATTACGATAATATAATGTAGTTACAATTATTGTTATTTTTGGAGTCGGTGTCAGCCAAGGAAACGCTACGATATACTTAGCAATAATAATACGAGCATACTTTAAGAAATATCGAAATCGGTTGGCGTGATATTGAGTTATTCGTCTGTTTGTCGCGAACATACTGAATGCAAATTTAAGACTTATATGGTTTTCTCATGGATGCCATTGTCAGAACTGAAGCAAATTGAAATGGGACCACACGGGAAGCACCAGCTTTCAAATAAAAAAAAGAATCATCAAAATCCGTTCACCTAGTCAAAAGTTCTGAGGTAACAAACATAAAAAAAATCACAGACGAATTGAAAACCTCCTCCTTTCTTTGAAGTCGGTTAAAAAATAATATAAATAGCAAAACAACGTTTGCAGGGTCAGCTAGTATAAATATACAATAGCGCCAAAATCATTTTTTATTTATTTACAAATGCCCAGTAACAGAGGTAACACCATAGTAACATCTAAGTGAAAAAAAAAGCAGTTCAAAAATTAAAGTAAATTTAGAAAAAAAATAGTCTATTTCAGTTATTTTTATGAGGAACAAGGGATAGCCTACTATAATTTTGTCCCACTTATGCATATTACTCGTATAGGCAAGTCTATTGCCATCGATGGCGCACTTTAGGGATAAGATGAGAAAAACTGGAGGATTCAGATAATGTAGTAGAGACCGACCGAAGTTTCGGTTTTAGCCGGTTTCGGCCACAAAATCTAGTTTCGGTTCCAGTTTCTGTTACGGCTAAAGTTGGCCGAAACTTACGGCCGCGCCGAAGTCAGTGTTCGTGAATTGTCGTGCGTCGTTCGGCTAACGATATCGGTTCCGGCTCAGTTCGCCGCCGTCCAGTGCGATCTTATGAGTTGTTTTATGCATAAATAATTAGGTAAGTATATGTTTTGTTTTTACTTGTCTAATCTTAATGGTCGTTATTAGGTAGAATTTCAACTAGATCGATTTCGCAAGCCTCCTGCAATATGCACCAAGGTAAAGAAGAGTGTTTGGGATGTACATGATATTAGTCCTCATCAGATGGAGACAACTGAATCCGAAGATCAACACAATTTTGAAAGAAAAATTTAATCTAATCTGTCAGAACCATTCTTTCAACGCAATCTGGATGTATATCCTTATTGGAACTGCAGTCCATATTCAACGCAAAGAAAGGAAGTTTTGAAGTATCTTGCCGTATACCAGTGTATCAAGTGAGCAGCTGTTTAGTGCTGCTGGAAAATATACTGAGATCGTCAGAGTAATCTGTTCAGTTGAAAAAACTACTTTTCTAAGCTTACAATATAAGACTTTTTAATTATGATTACTAGCATTAGAACTAGTGTTTATTCTAATTCGTTTTGTTTTTTGCTGTTTTTTTTATAAGTAGTAACTACCTAATTATCGTATCAACAAATTGTTGTGTAAAAAAACTGATTATTCTAATCACTATATAAAACAAAAGTACAAGATCTCAAAATATTAAATTAAATATTAATTAAGTAAACAAATCTTCAGAATGTTGTGAAGTGAACACAATAATTAAAATCAATTGAAAGTCTTATTGTGTCTAGGTGTTATTAAAATACCAATTTTGTTTTAAAGTTTACTTCCAACAGTAAGTAAGTTCTTATTTTTACATATATCTATGTGTATAGTTACTTGTCTACCAAAAAGCAAAAGGAACTTAGTTCCGACTGGTGGTCCATAGACCCCGTCACGCTGTTTCTTTTTTATATATTTCTTCATTACTTTAAAAGTAAATGATTAAATTTATGGACGGCCGGTTTAGAAATATTATCGGAGTACTACGCCAAAGGTTGCAGGTGCGATTCACAGTCAACTCAAACATTTGTGTGATTGAAAATATGTTTGATTGGGTCTGGGTGTTGCTATGTATAATATGTATGTATTTAGAAAAAAAGTATATATGTTTTTATATCAGTTGTCTAGTAGGTACCTATATTACAAGCTCTGCTTAGTTTGGGACTAGATGGTGTTGTATGAATGTGGTAGAATATAATTATTTGTCACATATTTTCATTATTAAATATAAAATAAATAATATTATACTTTTGTTTTTTTTTTTTTAATTAACCCCATCTGTAAATAGGTACATGCAGATAAATGTCCAAAAAATACACTAGATTTCAGTATACAATAGAACTTCTATTTTATATTGATATATTTCGGTTTTGGCCAAAACTGAAGCAAGGGCCTATAGTTCAGTTTCAAAACCCTGTTTCAGTCAGACACTAAAAATTAGGTTAGAGGGGAAGGCCATGAAAGTGATCATTATATGGATGGTTTGGGTAAAGTAAGCAGTAGCTCGAACAATTCAGTAAGTATCACAATATATAATATATCCTGAGTTGCAGGGGCCTTTACATCACCCTAGCAGAAGCAGGCCGGGGTGGCGGTGAGCGCGTTGCGAAGCGCGCTCGCTTCCAGGGAGCACAGGGAACATGGGGTTCCCACACGGGGCGGGGGTCGTCTACTCGTCTGTAGATGACCCGAGGTATGTCGGGGCACCAGGGCCTTCCTTTCTAGGGTATACCTGGTTCCCCGGCTATTAGTACCCGGCGAAGGCGTGCGGTTTTAGTCGGTTCGAGTCCGACATGCCACCGACAGGTGGTATCCGAGGGGATTTCCGCACGGAAAAAAAAAAAAAAAAAAAAAAAAAAAAAAGGGGCCTTTACAAACATTCATTCAAACAGACACAAAGAACACCCAGACTCAGAACGACAATTTGTGGATCACTCAAAGTGTCATCCCATGTGGGGATAGAACCCACAACTCTCAGTACATTAGGAAGCAGCAAGGTAAGGTAAAAAAATATTTATTTAAAACATTGACAGTGTCTTTACAGGTCACTTACATAATAATATATAAATACTCTTTTATTTGTTGACATATTTATGTAACAAGTATAAAAAAATATTTGTCTGACAAATAAATAATTATTTTAAACAAATCATCAAGATGTATTTCCAGTCTATTAACATACAATGCAACCAAATGAATACACTAAAGGAAAAGCTTAATTTTACGATATTTAAATGCACAAAACATACATAAATATGTATGCATGCTTATTTGGAAGACAGAAATACTCATTTACAAGATCCCTGCATAAAGGTTTTAATAAACATGAAAAACAAAGTAGACAATAGCAAGGTATTTAAAATCACTCCTTATGTCAACACCATAAGGCTGCATTAAAATTGATTACACGAAAAGGTATTGCAAAATAAAAAAAACTATAAATAACTTTAAAGCATTTGAATATGTGTCAATGTTTACATACAATACATCCACCAACCATAGATCATTAAATTTTAAAAGTAGGCACTGATTTTACAGATAAGACAAAATATCATATGTTACAAGAAATTCAAATGGATTACAAGGAAAACGTCGCAAATATTCAGATATGCATGTCTTGTGTAGTCTGTGTTTGTCTATTAGAGTTCGATATGTTTATTATCACTCAATACTCATATGATATATTGGCAATGGCTTAAAGTAGGTACTCACAGTGTTAGATTTTGGCTGGCCTGATCTCCGTCTACGGTGACTCCTGGTGGCGGTTCCTTCATCAGGGACATAAGTTCTTTCTGTAATCTCCGCTAAAACATAAACAGTTTCCTTTATATTTAAAAATCTTTGATTATTTAATTACTTATCTAATTGGCTAAATTTGCATAATCTTGAATTTACTATAACTTTACAACTCAATTTCATTTGATACAAACGAAATTTAGACAAAACTAAGTCAAACTGTCACAATACTATGGTCCTGAAATTGTGATTTCACGGATACGTACTTTATGGCGTCAGTATTAATATCATGAAACTCGAATTTATATCAAATAATAATGGTTACTAGCATGTGGAACACGTAAAATTATAATTATTTTTACATACCTCGGACGGGGACATAGCCGCCATTGTAATCCAATTAGACGTTTAATGTTACTAGTACATAAAAATAAGCCATCACAACAACATGATAGATGTTAACTACCTAAAGTTATTCCGTTTCATTTTTCTTTTTTGTTCGGATTAAATTGGTTTATTTAGAGCATCTTTAATAATATTAAAGGTGAACAATGTTACTAGTTATTTACTAAAATAAAATAAACACATGTGTTTATTTTATTTTTCTGCCTGACATCTGTTTGTTTTGTTACTCCACCAAATTACTAATTTCTAATATTAGCTAAGAGCCTTTGTTAGACAAGATTTAATTTCTAATAATAATTATTAGAAATTAAATCTTGGCTTTGCTGGACGGCGACTTTTACTGCTCATGTAACTTTTCAGAGAAAATGGTCCTAGAATATGACATGTTTCTGGTAGTTTTGATAGTTTCTATTAGTTTTATGACAAAAAAATAGTTTAGAGAACTTTTACACATGAAGGTTTCTTCATAATTTTTTTTTGAACATCCCACTGTTTCCCACTGTCCCACAATTTTAATGCACATGTAATTATAGAAAAATTAGATCTGTAAGGATCAAACTCAAACTAATTATTCCGTAATGAAACAAAATCGTTTATAAGGTAAATCTAGTAATCTAATCTAGTAATTAAAATAAATTTAATTATACACATTCATAGAAGAATAAACATAGATAAAACACTGGGTACAGCTGCCTGTAAGTGGAAGCGATACAGGCAACGAGAGAGATGGATGCCCGATAGCTCCCTCTATCTCTGTTTAGCTAATCTTTTGCTATCGTGAAGTGGATATGGTTTTGATCGCAGAACAGGCGGGAAATTAGAAAAATTAGAAATTTACCACAGAGCTCGACTAGAAAGAAATAGGGCACTCTCTATTATAAATATTTAAGAACTCTATTATAAACTTTTTATAACCAATTCTTAAATATTTCAGGCGAAAAATCCCAAGTTGGCAGCACCGTAACTTAATGTCATGGTCTTTCATTCATGTCATTTCATTTCTATTATATTTCATTATCTGTGGTTGGTCTTGTATTTAAAATATAAAAGCTAGCATCTTTTTCTATTTACTTTGTTAGCTTCTAATAGTTATTGTTTGCGGTTTGTGAAATGAACGACATATAATTTATAATTAAATTTACCATTAGAAAGTAAACGTTTTTCTATTTTAAAGCTGAATCGAATAAGAATTTTATTGTTAGTCCATTCAATTCATTTAACAAATTTATCATTTCTTCATTTAATCAGTAGCCACAATGGGCTCACATAGTAAAAAGTCTACTGCGGAAAGGTTTATAGATCAGCTAAATGTAGAAAATGCTAAACTACTGGCGTTAGTTCTCGTTATTGGATTTATAGGCTATCATGGAGTACTGCACTTAAGATATGGTGAGTATGAATCTCTGATTAATCTCTGAATTAAATTCTACTAAAAGTAATAAGTTACTGTTTATTTTCCATCGTATATACTAGATCATATCCATTTGGAAACGATTTGTACATTGAAATTTAGACATTGCTTTGGTTTATTTTAATCTTAGCCATATTTACTTTTAGGTTCAGACTCCTGTACATGGTTATTGTCTTCCGGAAGATACAAAGGTGACCATGAATGGCAGCCTTATGGCTGTATGCTGCACAGATACTCAAAAACGTGAGTTTTTTAATTTAAATACTGTTTTAAAAAAAAAGTTGTGTATCAAAACTCGTGTAACTAATAAATATAAAAAAGCAGTTATAGAAATAAGTAAGGCAGTAGTAGTAGTGTACGAGTTATGTGTCGGAATCGGACCAACTAAAACCACACATTGTGCCTCTCTGCACCTGTAATAGGAGAGTTTTGGGGACTGCTGTTATTAGGATTGTGGTAAGTGTAGAGAGTAGGTGTTGATTGCGGTAAGTGCCTGTGGAATAGGTGAATTAAAGTTTGTTACTGTGCGACATGTAAGTGGGGCAAACACATATACATACATACATATATTACATACATACATTTATTAATATTATTTAACTAATTTTTTTTTTAACTTCACACGTCACACACACTGCCGTCTCATTCCAAACTAGGCAGAGCCTGGACTATGGTAACCAGACTGCTGATAAACATACTTATATATTTCTTAATACGATCATTTTTTCTCATCTACCCTCCGTGAAGTGAACTGTGCTAGAATGTTATTAGTTAGTTAAAATTGTGTATTTTTTATATTTTGTGCTGAATTCTTTCCAAAAACCATGTTAAAATCAACAATAAGTGATATGTGTGAACCATTATAAACAGTCGAGGGGTTTTCAATCGTTAAATATAATATCTTGTGTAATAAAAAAAATTACGACTAACTAACGAACTTCCATAAATTCATACCAACAAAAATTACTTAAAATGAAGTGTTTCCAATGCGAAAGTGATTTTTATAATGATGAAAGAGCTGTTCAGTGTGAAGGCTGCAAGCGCAATGTGTGCTCGAAATGTAGCAACTTGACAAGTAGTGAGGCTAGGGTTATGGGGCTCAAGTTGCGACGCCTTTTATACCTGTGCGCGCCTTGTCAGGAGGCTCTATTCCAGGTACCAAAATTAATAAAATCTTATGATGTTAGAAGAGCTAGATGACATAAAAAAACAACTCGCCAAACAAATTCCCGGCCAAAGGAACCCTGCGTTTTCGCAGCCGACCTCAAGTGCCATCGATGCGAACTCCAACTTTGGACAAATGGCAGAATGTGAGGGTCAAGCTAATAGTATTATTGTGGTTGGTATAAAAAAATCCAACTTGGATGATAAAGGCAGTCGCAGTGCCCATGACGAATCAGTATTTAAGGAATCATAAAGGAAATCACTGGGGATAGTGGAACCTCAACTAAAGTAGTCAAGATCATTGGCTTAGGTCAAAAAGACAGCTCAAAAGCTCAAAGCCTATGAATGTTGTTCTGAAGAGTCGATTTGATGCTGTCCACGTTCTGAAGGCTAAAGAGCGTAGGGAAGTAAGAATTTATAATGACAGAACACCACAACAAAACGAGAAGAACTCAACCAGCTGCGTCATAGCCTAAAAGAAAGAATGGATATAGGTGAGATAGATATCACTATAAAACATGTTAGCGGAATTCCAAAGATTGTCAAGACAAAAAACTAATAAGCAGTAACACTCCATACACCAACTTCACATTTTATTATACCAACTTGAAATAAAGGCACAAAAACCCACGTTCATAATTGTTACAGAAACTTGGCTTAATAATAATGACAGGAACAGTACTTATGCAATATAAACTACACTCTCTTAAGGAAATACCGTAAAAAGCGGCCAAAGGCTGAAGGTGGGAAATCAAGGGGCGGTGGTGTTGCAATTTATGTCAGAAGCAATGTTAACGGCATCCCAATAATAGCACACAAGAAAACCCGGTATATGGCTGACATGGTGGAGGCGTTATACCTTGATTTGTGCATTACCATTTTTTACTAGTTGGAGTCTACCATGCAGATACTAATATTAACTGCTATTTCACCTTCAAATGCAGTGTCTCACTTGCCCATCAGGTTCCCAACCGCAACGGAAGCGATACTATCAAAAGATTGACTTGAACAACGACTTCTGCGTAAGGCTAAATAATATAGTAAGAACTGAACAAGTGGAAGATTCATGGAACTATGTTAAAGATATACTGTATGCTAACATAGAAAAACACGCTCCCCCAAAAGGCAGTTAGTCAGAAAACAAAAATAAACCTTGGATTAAACCAGACATAATAAAACTAACACGTGTAAAACACAAACTTTAGAATGTATACTCTGCCAGAAAAAAACAGAAGACCACTTAGAATGTAGAAACATTAGCAACAAATGCGTCAATGAGTGCAGAAAGTATAGAAGTTTCTATGAAGCAAACATACTTAAACATTCAGGCAAATGCTTCTATTCATACTTGCGTATTTGTACATCCTCTAAGGTTAGCATTCCACCTGCTATACGGAGCCCGCTTGGCAACCTATTGACTAGTCTACTGGATATTGCTAATATATTTGCTGGGGAATTTCATAAAGCATTCTCTGTGGAACCAGTGATAAACAATACACCTAAGATTAATAGCATCGCTCGCGTTCAACCCCTTTCAATGTGATATCTCATTTGAGGAATAGGAAATTGCAAAAGTACTGAAGAACCTTAAGGTAAACTCTTTACCGGGACCAGATAGTATACCAAATATAGTACTAAGAAACAGTGCAGACCTGATTACTCCTGTATTGGCAAAAATAATGCGAACCTCCTTTACAAACAGTAGATCACCCGGGGATTGGGAACGTGCCATAGTGACACCTGTAAACAAAAACGGTAATAAGACTGACCCGGATATGTTCAGACCTATAAGCCTCATCAATACTATAGGTACGAGGGTGCGTTTTTAAGTTCGCGGAATGAGAGGGTTGGAGGGGGGTGATTAGGCTCACTAGAATCGTCACGTGATCAGTGACTCATAATTAGTATAAATACCAGATGTCATTGTTATTAGACAATTAGTCTTTGAGTTATCGTCAACCAAGCAACATAATCGGGAGTGAAAAGTGAAACATGAATATCGTGCCGTTATAAAGTTCCTTACCAAGCAAGGAAAATCAGTTGCGACCATAATGAATGAGATGTCATTGGTTTACGGCGACTCTTGTCCAGGAAAAACCATGGTGTACAAATGGCACAGTTTATTTAAACAAGGAAGGGAATCCCTTGAAGACGACCCGAGGCCGGTCAGGAGCATCGAGGTGATCACGCTAGAACTTACCTAAAAAGTCGAAAAAATTGTACTCGACGATGCTCGACTAAAGAAGAAACAACTCGCAGAAATGGTTGGAGTATCTGATACAACCATTTTTAGAATTCTGCACGATCATTTTGGCATGACAAAGGTCAGTGCAAGATGGGTGCCGAGAATGCTCACGCCGACGCAAAAACAACAGCGCGTAGAGTGTTCACGTGCATTTTTAGACCTTTGTAATGAAGACAAGGATGCTGTATTGAGTAGAATTGTTACTGGAGACGAAACTTGGGTTCATCATTATGAACCTGAGTCGAAACAAGACTCCATGCAGTGGCATAAAAAGGGCACAGCACCTCCCAAGAAGTTTAAGGTGTCAGAGTCAGCTGGGAAACTCATGGCAACGGTCTTTTGAGACTCAGAAGGAATATTATTGATCGATTATAAAGATAGAGGTGTTTCTATAACCGGAGAATACTACGCTTCAATATTAGAGAGACTCAAAGAAGCCATTAAAGAGAAAAGACGGGGAAAATTGACAAAAGGTGTGTTGCTTTTGCACGACAACGCGCTCGTCCACAAGAGCCGCGTTGCGTTGGCTGCCCTGCATAAGGTGGGCTTCGATATTTTGAATCACCTACCCTACAGCCAAGACCTGGCCCTAGGGGGTAGGTAGGTCGCTGGGGGCCAGGTAGGACCTGGCCCCCAGCGATTATTACCTGTTTCCAAAAATGAAAAAGAGCTGCGGGGTAAAAAAATTACCAACGATGATGAAGTCAAGGAGGCAGTTTCGGCGTATTTTGAAGACAAAGAGATTTTTTTTTTTATGAGGGTATAAACAAATTAATTGAAAGATCTAAAAAATGTATCCGTCTTGCAGGTGAATATATTGAAAAGGAAAAATAATTTGTTTTTTTTATTTCCACCCCTTATCCCCCATTCTGCGAACATAAAAGCGTCCGTACATACGGAGAAGATTATATCCAACCATATCAAGTCATTCCTCAACAGACATAACATTATTTCTGTAAAACAACATGGATTTGTTGAGAGGAGTTCCACAGTAACTAATTTACTAACATGTGTTAACACATGGTCAAAGGAACTTGATCAAAAGTATGGACGTCATTTACCTGGATTTCGAACGTGCTTGTTTTTATAAGTACCCTCACAATCGACTATTGTTGAAACTTGAGCACTTCGGTATACGTGGAAATCTTCTAAAGTGGCTTGAAAATAGAACATACAAAGTCAGAGTCGGTGACACACTATCTGAGCCAATGAAAGTCCCGAGTGGTGTCCCCCAGGGCTCTGTTTTCTCAGCTATCCTGTTCAACATTTTCACTACAGATTTAATAGCATTCATTGAGTGTGAATTATGCTTTTTTTGCTGACGATGGGAAGTTCTTTGGTGATCCTATCATTCGGTCAGGACAATTGCAATCAGATCTGGACAATTTACAAGAGTGGATTGCAAAACTCAATTCATCCAAATGTACAGTACTGCGATACACGATAGGTGACACAATACTTGCATCTGTCAAGTCGCAAAAAGATCTTTTAGTAGCGACGACCAGCAATTTAAAATGGACTGACCAAATCGAATGTTACGGTTAAAAAGGCAAATTCTTTCCTATATGCTATACGACGTGCATTCCAACACATGACACCTTCAGTTTTCACCAAAATTTATAAAACTTATGTTAGGCCTTTTTTAGTTTGGAATCCCTACCTTGTGAAGGAAGTTGAGCTGCTTTGAAGTGTGCAAAGGCGAGCAACTAAGATACCGTATGGATTGCGGCATAAGACTTATGAGGAACGCTTAAGAGTACTAAAGTTACCGAAATTAAAAGATCACAGGACGAGAAATCCTCCTCCAGCAGAAAGCATACTCATCACGGGGACACAGCTTCACAATCAATTGCTCACACTCATAGTCGCTGGCACCCTATCACACTTTAAACAATCGTGTTGTTGCTATATTGGAGACGCTTCCGGAAAGTGTAGTAACCGCAGAATCAGTTTTAAGTGCCAACTTGATAAATGGTTAGAAAAGCACAACCTACGGGACTAAACAACCGTTTAATCATGTACACGTGAACTCTTATACCACAATCTTACTCCAGTGCAGTAATGTGGACACATCAGCAAGGTTGCTGCTCGTCCATAATACCATGATAATAATAATAATAATAAACAATCGATACACAAATAATTGACTGTACGGATAGCGTAATGGTTTAAGCGGTCATCTCGCCGCTTCCTATCGCCTGATAAACAAATTGTTGTTCTGAATCTGGTTGTCCTTTACATGATATATTCCTCGTGCAGGAGTTGTCTTTTCTTTAAAGAAAATTTTTAGTTCTACTTTGTCTGTACTGTGTAAGTACTTTCTCGATAAGATACTTTCAAGATTCAATGATAATGGCATGCCTCTTTATGAAAAAGAATATTAATATATATATCGTTGATCGTTTTTGACGTGACAACGTCTTATAAATTGGTTTGCCGGGTGACACTTCAAGAAACTGCGTTACGCTCCGTTCACGTTATGCGCTCACAATGAGAGCGAGTGAGAGGCACGCGTCCCTTCCACTCGGGCATGGTTAGCCCGCCTAAGAGCGAGAGAGACAGACATAAAAAGTGAAAGGCGACATAAAATTTTGTTAATATGAAATTCAGTGCGAGATTCTTTGTATAAATTAATGTTTTAAATATAATTCTTTGTATAAATAAATGTTTTAAATTGTTACTATTATTTCATCCTTCTTCCTACTATACGAATGAATATTCACATTAAAATTATTTTACCACTCAAAGTCGTCACGTAAAACTTTCGCCCGTATACCGACTTTACAGGCAACCAATTTTTTTTCCCTTATACGGGGATTTTTTTTCCTTTTGAGAGACGGAGACCAAGTTGAGGGAGTCGGTTACTTATAAATATTTAGGTTCTAAATCGACGTTGTGCAGGCTATAAGTGGCCTAACACATACATACACGTGTGTGTCGGGCCACGTATACCAACTGAGATACTGCCCTAGTGTGTGTTGCAACATACCACCACATATTAGCTGCATTCGCTGGTTCTTACTCTGTTACACCTACTGTATTAATAGTTTTAATGAACTCAATAATTGAGTTCATTAAAACTATGACTGCATTTTACGGTTTAATTAGTCTACTCAATTTGTAACTATCTTAAGTACCTAATTCGTGAATTGCTCTTTGAACTTTTGATACATCGGGGGGAAGGTCATCTGCTAAGGCACTTGTGACTTTAGAGTTGCAGGTATCCATGGGCAGCGGTATTCACTTTCCATCAGATAACCCGTTTGCTCGTTTGTCCACCATGTCATTAACTGGCTTTTCCCCGCAGCTCCGCCCGCGTGTATGTCGGTTATCGCGGTAAAAAGTAGTCTATAGCACTCAGGGATGATATACCTTACCCGTACCCGTACTTAGATTACCCCAAAAATACAAACTTTACCTTTTTATAATAATAGTATAACTTAAACAAATTCATCCAAATTACACCATTTTTTGTCATGTAAACTTTTTTAATTCAGACCTTTTTCATATTTGCCAACAAAACACTGGCCAAGGGTTTTTCTTTAAACAGGTAGCAAAATGTTCGTAGTCTCTTTTTATTAAGTGTTAAAGAAGTTTGAATATGTGTTTATATTCAAACTTCTTTAATGGAAAATGATAATGAATACGTTGATGATAATTGCCTATCCAAGATAAAGCTATCCACACTACTCTTGCCAGTTTGCAAAAGGTTATGGAGACAGTTTCATCATCATCAACAGCCTTCAGTAGTCCTCTGCAGGAATCTCCAGGCCTCTCCTTAGAAAGGACGTTTTGGCCTACTAAAATACACGGATTGGTATAGGGTTTGTTTCAAGTTGCTCCCATAGTCGGCTCTTACAACACCGACGGGATGATGGGTTGGTGGTTCCATTCCGTATTCTTAATCCGTCACCACACGGAGACAGTTTTCTGTTACGTGAGCTCATAAAATCAAAATGTTGTTGCAGAGACGCACGCCGATGTCTTCGGTACTTAGCATTCTGGGGTAAATACAACAGCTTCGCCTTCATAGGTGATTCAAGACTTGAACAGCTCTATGGATATTTTATTGGTAAGTTCATAAATAGTGAAATTTAGTGTAGGACGCCCACAGGCCAGGTGGAGTGACGATCTGCGCAAGATGGCTGGCAGGAGCTGGATGCAAGAAGCCAAAAATCGATATAATTGGCGTGCAATGGGAGAAGCCTATGTCCAGCAGTGGACTGCGGTAGGCTGGTGATGATGACGAAGGTTCAGTAACGCTAGTAATCCACGTTTTATTTAATCTCGATCCTGCATGATTTATTTCCAGAATATTATATACGTAATAAAAATATGTTTGTTCCAGGTGTTTTAAAGACGAGGTTAGACTTAGACACGTCGTACTCCACGGTGGACCACAAGATGCCTAACTACACATATGTAGATAATAAACTGCGTCTCTCTGTCACCTTTATATACAGTGATGACGTGTCCAAGAATATGGTTGAGCAGTTCAGGACCTGGTTAGTTTTTGGAAACTAAGTAGGATTTAACTTATTTTAGAAATTTTTGCACTTGTGCCCATCGGCGGATTTATTGCCCTGGTCATTCTCTACCAGCGAACCTCTGGGTTTTTTTTATGTCAGAGGGGGCAGACGAGCAGACGGGTCACCTGATGGAAAGTGACCATCGCCGCCCATGAACGTCTGCAACTCAGGAGTCACAAACGCGTTGCCGGCCTTTTAGGCAGGAGTACGCTCTTTTTACTTCCTTTTTAAAAGACAATTCACGCATTAGGAAAATATCCTGTGTCGCGGGGGACTTTACAAACATACATGAAACGGACACAAAGAACACCCAGACTCAGAACAACAATTTGTGGATCACACAAAGTGTCGTCCCATGTGGGGTTTGAACCCACAACACTCGGCGTAGTAGGAAGCGGCGTGGCGACCGCTTAAACCACTACGCCATCCGTGCTCTTTACGAGTCGTGTTGAAATCTGGCAAGGTGGTTGAAGTGAGGTTACATTTGTAGTAAATATAAAGTTTTAACTAACATTTTAGTAACTGCAAAACATATTAAGTGTTACGTATCTATTTTTATTACTTTATTTATAGCAGGCCTTGCGGATACTTAGGGGAAATACCTAAGCTATATATAGCTAAGTATAATATACATAATAAATAAGATAAGCCGAGTTATTATTTAGGTGTTAAAAAGAAGGTGAACCAATGAATATTTTTATTCATCAACAGCCTTAAAATGTTTCACTCTCACTGCTGGACTTGCTTCAGAAATATATTCAAATATTTTTATTTGCATTTTTATATAGTCGAAGAAATAAAGCACAAAATCAGGCGAAACAAGCTCAAATTGACGCAGTAAGATGGATTTCAATTAGTTTTTTTATGCATTCAAACTCAAATTATTTGAAATCGTACATTACACATACAATTAATATAAATATTTGACAAACCAGAGATTGTTGCTACAATCTCTGGTTTGTCAAATATTTAGCAAACTAAATATATACGTATGGAAAATCTCTTATATGCCTGTGCCGATCTACAACCGCCCATTTCCAAGGGTTGAGTCTCATGAAAAGAAAGGACAAACAAAGTCACGGCCACTCTTTTTTAATCACTAGATACATATAATGGCATTATTAAATATACGCTACACCGTTTTGATGTGTGCCCGTATGTAAGTTTTAAGGACTAAAGGGTAAAAAGGCAATAAAGAGAAAAGAAGATAATAGGTCTTTACCTATGAAATTGCCGTTTTGTATGCAATAAGTGAAAGTACTTATTTTTTGAAACTTTTTTATTTCTGTTATTCGAAGTAGTCACCCATGCAATCGACGCATCTTTGCCAGCGCATTGGCAGTTTATTGATGCCCTTCTTGTAAAAATCCGCTGGACGGGAGGCAACAAACTCTTCAAAGCCTTTTGTACTGCCTCTCGGGAATTGAATTTTTTGCCCACTAAAAAGTTGTCTAAATTTTGGAAAAATTAATAGTCGGTAGGTGCAAGGTCTGGTGAGTACCAAGCAACCAGCTTTGGTCAATCGGTCGTCCCCACTGTTCCTTCACGACAACGCGCGACCCCATACTGCGCAACAGACAGTCTCCAAGCTGCAAGAGCTGGGGTTGGAAGCTCTCCCTCATCCGCCATACTCACCAGACAATTGACTAAAGCTGGTTGCTTGGTACTCACCAGACCTTGCACCTACCGACTATTACTTTTTCCAAAATTTAGGCAACTTTTTAGTGGGTAAAAAAATCAATTCCCGAGAGGCAGTATATTAAAAAGGTGGAATAAAAAAAAAGTGAAGTAAATTGCTCAAATCTCTCTCTTTTGCAGCACAAAAATAGTTTAAATGTCGGCAGCATTCCCCCACAGTAGAATACCGTACGACATTATGCTATGAAAATAATTGAAGTAAACAAGTCGTGCTGCGTGCACAATTCTCGAATTTTCCTAACTACGTATGCTGCTGAGCTGAGTCTACTCGATAATTTATCTATGTGGGGCCCCACTGTAGCTTAGAATCTAATGTTATTCCTAAAAATGACTTTGTATCCACAAGGTTTAGCTCGATTACAGTGGTTTTCACTGGTTTGACGTTTGGCGGGGTGAACATACACTTAGTTTTTTTTTCAGTCAAAAGCAAATTGTTAACGTCAAACCAATGAACCACTTTCGAAATGGCGCTGTTTACGTCTGTAAAATTAGTAAGTGTGCGTTTGAGTCTAAATAAAAGTGATGTATCATCTGCAAACAACACAATCTCGTGATTATCTTTGACAAGATGAGGTAAGTCGTTAATGTATACTAAAAACAAAAATGGGCCGAGAATAGAACCTTGTGGAACGTTAATATGAACTTTCTGAATCCTATTAGTTAGATATGAAGCAAGAATTTCCAATGCTTTAGTTTTGATTACTGTAATTTCGTGATCAGCGTTTCATGAACGCTGCCTGTAATTGAATTGAATTCGATTCGTAAGACCGTCCAGAAACCACGTCCAACGAAAATACCTACTCGGGGATTTTGAGAGTCGCTCAATAGGTATTTTTGTTTGATGTTTTAAAAATAAAGCAAAACTCCACGAGACGACGTGTTTGACGTCCACGCTGGGCAAAACCCTCAAGTGACAACATTAGACTTATTTTATGTAATAATTGTCCGAGTTGTTATTAATTGCAAAAATGCGTTTTTCGAAATACATTCAATAACTATCTTCACATAGTTTCTGAACGGTCTTATGAATCGAATGCAAAAAACTCCATCGAAATCCATCTTACTGCGCCAAATTGAGCTTGCTCGGTGCTTCACTTCTCCGACTAATGCCTGTACAAAACAAGGTGTTTTCGCACAGGCATAAAAATACAATCGAATTGAAACCCTTTTTGCTTTTAGTCCTTAAAAAAATCATTTTGACATTGACTATTAGCAAGGAAAATGTGATCATGCCAACAAAATTTAAACTTTATTTTCCTTACCACAAGGTTGAATTTATTACAGGCAGCGTTCAGACCAGCCTCCGTCAGTTATAGTGGCATCCACAGGACTGCAGCTACTCAAAACTCGCAACACAACCGACTTAGTACTAGAAGAATACAAAAGAAACCTTACACAACTAGTACAAGCTATAGATTCGCTTGCAGCGAGGAAAACTCAGGTGTTGTGGAAGCTCATCGAGTCTGTGGACATGTCAAAGTTAAAAGACGAGAATAAGAAGATCAATAATTATGATATTGACTCTTATAACAGAGCTGCTATTGAGGTAAGTAACATTTTCACGAATTTCAGTGTAATATATGAAAAAACCAACAATGACATAACTCAAATTCTTGCCATATTGCCATAGGCGTCGGAAAAGACAATTTTAATATTACAATCATAATTCATCAGCGTCAGACAACCGGATATAAAAGTAAAGAGCCAAAACCATTTGTAATGTACCACTGTACATCGATCCCAAACAAAATTGGCGAACCCAGGAAAATGATGAAGATGAGGCTTTCTAAGAAGACTCCACATAAACTCAAAATATCTTTATTTCATAAAAAAAAATAATTACTAGACTCCTAGATCAACATGCACAACCTCTGTTTTATCAAATATTTAGCTTTTTTTTTAGTAAATAACTTAAAGCTCAGATAGTTTATAGTCACTGTGGTCTGATCACCAGATATTAACTCACAGTGCAGCCAAGATCTGGAACTCAGCTCGGCTGGTGTCCGAGCGCGGTGGTGAGGGGAGTGGAGACCTGACGTTGAGTCCTACAGCACTGCGACATGCTGCTCAACTGTTGCTGAACATGTTCTGCAACGATCACATGAACTTTAACGATGGCTCGTGTTGTGCTGAGCCTGAACCGTACACCCAGCTACAAATATTGACGTTTGCACTGTTTTTATTATGGTGAGTCAACATTATTTAAGGGAGCAAACTACGCAGGACAACAGCACTGCAAAGAGAAGGAAAACTTGACACAAACCCTATACCAACCTGTCTGGCCAGCGTGGTATAGTAGGCCAAAACATCCTTTCTAAGGAGAGGCTTATGTCCAGCAGTGGATTATTATAGGCTGTTGATGATGATGATATAAATTATTTACTAAATCTAAATATATAAAACTGAAAATTTGGTTTGTGTACGCTTCTAAAACTCAAAACGTTCTGCACCGATTGAGCCCAAATTTTTACACGCCTAGATTTTGCTACAACCTGTTTCAAAGACTGTTTTTTTATTGTATAAGGGGGCAAACGAGTAGACGGGTCACCTGATGGTAAGCAACTACCGCCGCCCATGGACACCTGCAACTCAAAAGTTACAAGTGCGTTGCTGCCCTTAGAGACCCCCCGCTCGAGTCAGCGGGAGGGGGATTTGGGCTCCGGTAACCTCACTCACTCAGTGAAAGGCAACGAAAGAATTGCTTAACACCGGTTTTCTGTTTTACCTGGTTACCTGGTACCTACCGTTTGTGATACTTAACACATTTTATTATTTCTCATCAATGCAACCCATTGTTACAACGAAGCGTTGCAGGCTACAGCTGGTTTATAATAAATTTTAGCCTATTATCTATACATCATCATCATCATCAGCTGTAGGGGTAGTTTCCCTAACATTACTGATAGATTGCTGGTTTGATAAATGAGTAGACAACTTTACCGAATGATGATTTTATTGCTACTAAATTATGTACAAAAATTATGTATGTAAAGTAAGTGCCTATGTAATACGAGTGCAATACAAATGAGTGAACGCAAGCTAATTTCATTAACTACTACAAATGTGCGGGTTTGCTCGTACATGCTCCCACACAGGAGAAAATAACTATGTAAAATGATAGCTTATGAAATAAACTAGAACAATGTTAGCAGTTCAATATCTGTAGTAAATAACTTCTAAATTAAAAACATAAAAAGTAAGTACGAGTATATGAAAGGATGGAACATTATTACATTAACATTTAATGTCCCTAGTTACTTTTTCACTTTATGGATTGTTCACCTTAGTTTATCGCGCGCACTAACGAATAAGAATGGGCGACGAGGCTTTATTTAGTACACGTGCCCTAGAACTAGCCAGATTCGATCTGACACACGGAACACTGTCGTTTATTTCACTAACACAATGGAAAAACACTCTGTCACTACGTCTCTGCTGATCCGCCGATGTCGGCGCGCTCGCGGGCGGTACACGCCACGCGCGCACTTGGTCGCCACGCGAACATCAAACCGGCTATCCCTGCGATTCCGATGATACAGTAGATCGCTATGTAGTGGTGTATGTCATGATACGAGATGCTTTCTGATAAATGTGCATTATCTTTCATGACTTTAATTTTCTCGCCGATGTTAGACAGTTCTTTATCATAACTTTCCACTTCCGATTCGTTCAGTGGAACTAAGTGTGGGATAGGGATGTTGATAATCTGATTTATTAGTAGTATTACTGGAGCGTATACCTCAGGTTTTACGTTCAACTGACTAGATTGCATTTTGTGCGCAATCACAGTAAAATATTGTGTTTTGATAATAGATGTTTGATTTTGCCAGTATGACGAAATATGCCGTTGGTTGTCACGCAGTAACCTGATATCCTTTTGATATTGTTGGGCGAATCGGCTATCTAATACGCCGAACAGACTGTTAGCGAGATATCCTACGCCGTCTACAAGACCGCGTCGCTGCCTGGCCAGAGAGTCCAGTCGCGCGCTAGAATGCTGACCGAGCAACATCTGATTGTAATATTCAAGTTCAACAACACCTTGATTCAATTGTAGTAATATAATATCGCAGTTAATTGTATGATTTATTGTATTACACATTTGTTCGAGAGACGTATAGTATTTATTGAGAGCTTTTATTCCCTCCCAGTAAGGTTGCATGTCGTAGTAAATAATTAATTTCCAATCGTCCCTTATTATCTGCATATCGGATAATTTATCGAAATAAAGGCTTTGCTTTTGACCAAATTTCGTAAAATAAAACTGCTTTGTACAGTTGATATGATAGTCATAAAAAATATTAAGAATGTCAGCAGTGATACGATATTATAACTTGTTACATTTCTCTGGTGAGTGGGGGAGGAGTAGTATCTGATACAACTTTTTTATCGTTTTGAAATATCTCCGATTTGGAAGGGTTAATTGGCAAAATTGATAATTTTGTGATGGGTCTTTTGAGTACTCCGTTTTTCGTTTTTAGACTAACAACCCGGACATATCCGTCTGTACCCGGATGCAGTTCTATCACTCTACCCATTGACCATTTTCCCGTTGGTAGGTTGTCGTCGTGCAGAAGGACTACGTCATTTAGTTTGATATTTTCATGAGGCTTTCGCCATTTGCTACGTGTTGTTAATTGTGTTAGATACTCAGAACGCCATCGTTTCCAAATGTCACTGAAAATTCTCTGAGTCAGCTGCCATCTGGTTCTCAAGTCTCTTTCTGTTTCAACCAATGTAAGTGCTGATCCACCAGTCAAGAAGTGTGACGGTGTCAGATATGCCAAATCTTGTGGATCTTCAGTTAGTGGGCACAGAGGTCTAGAATTCAGGCACGCTTCGATTTGTGCTAATACCGTTGACAACTCTTCGTACGTTAACTTTTGTTCACCAATCACTCTTTTAAAATGATATTTAAAGCTTTTAACGGCCGATTCCCACAGGCCACCTGCTGAGGGCCAGATTGGCGCGTTAAAATGCCAACTGATTTCCATTTCTGTAACTTCAGCAAAAAAATCCTTGTTGAATATTTGCTGTAGGTCATGATATTCTGCTTGCAATAATTTGTTTGCACCGACAAAGTTTCTACCGTTGTCACTGTATATGTGAGTAGGCGTTCCTCTGCGAGCAGCCATTCGTCTTAAAGCTGCAATGAATGTCGAGGTACTCAGGTCTGAGGCTAGCTCTAAGTGTACCGCTTTAGTACTCAGGCAAATGAAGACGGCCACGTAACCTTTGGTTGTCTTAATCCCACGGCCCTTGTTGGCTTTAAGCAGGATATGTCCCGTAAAGTCTACCCCAGTGTGGGCAAACGGACGTGATGGATTACACCTTGCCTCGGGTAAGTCTCCCATGATCTGTTGGTGTTTAAGGGGACTTATCTTTTTGCATTTTAAGCATAAACGTATCCGTTTTTTAGTGGTGTCGTTACCGCTCACAATCCAATATTTTTGTCTTATGAACGCCAACGTTAATCGAGCACCGCCATGAAAGGTTAGTCGGTGAGCCTCTTCTATGATCAACTCTGTTAGTCGTCCTTTGTGCGGTATGATTATGGGATGCTGCATATCAGCATGGATGTAAGCGTGTCGTAATCTCCCTCCCACACGTAAAAGACCCTTACTGTCTAAATAGGGATTGAGATTTAGAAGTTTACTTTTACTGCTTATCTTGCCTTTTTCCTTGAGACTTCTTATCTCTTCTGTAAACTCTTCTTGTTGCACATGCTTGATAATCGATAATTTGGCTTTTCTGATTTCTTCTAAGGTAAGATATTCCTCTCGCGATTTGCTTTGTTTATATGTTATAAAACGGTACATCCATGCTAGTATGTGCACAATTTTATTTAACGAGCTATAGTGTATCAATAAGTTTGTAATGATATTGTTACTGGTATCTTGCATCAAAACATTGTTTATATGTTTCTGTTTCTTTAATTCTTCTGTGGTTGTGTAAATGGGCTGTTGCGCCTCGTTATTGCTATTGAATGTGAACAACCACGAAGGTCCTTGCCACCACAAGGGATGCTGATTTAATTGAGATATATGTAAACCTCTACTTGCACAGTCAGCGGGGTTTTCGCTAGACTTCACATGTCGCCAGCAGGCAGACGGTATTGTCTCTGTGATTGCTCTTGTTCTGTTAGCGACAAATGTTTGCCACCGGCCTGGTTCTCCCTGGAGCCATCCTAGAACGGCTGTAGAGTCGGTCCAGCCGTAAACGTCAATTCTATAGTCTTGTAAACATGACTTAACTTTAGCCATGAGATTCGCTAGTAAAAGAGCTCCACAAAGCTCTAATCGTGGTAATGTTATTTTCTTACTAGACGGCACTATTCTTGATTTTCCTGCGACAAGAGTAATGTTTGACTGGTCGTTGTAAACTTTACAATAGATAACACAGGCATATGCCTTTGTAGACGAGTCACAAAAGCCATGTAGCTCAATTTTGTAGGTTGGTTTGGTTCCTAGCCATCTCGGTAATCGAACGTGATTGATTTGTTCTATCTCTGATTTTATTTTGATCCATTCATCGTATATTTCTGCCGGTATTTGATCATCCCATTGTATATTCGATACCCAAATTCTTTGAAATAGAATTTTAAGTTTAGTGGTAACAGGTGTAAGCCATCCTAAGGGGTCAAAGAACTGAGATATCTCAGATAACACGGACCGTTTTGTAACTTTGCTGACTATTGGTTTTATTTTGAAATTAAATGTGAAATTATCTTGTGACGGATTCCAGCGAAGTCCTAAAGTTTTTGTGGACTCCGGTTGTTTAAAAGTTATTGATTCCTGTTGTAATGTCTCATCATGTAACAACTGAGCCTCGTTTGAAGCCCACTTCCGTAAGTTGAAACCACCACTCTTTAATAATGTAATTAAATCTTGTTGTAATTGATAAGCTGTGGATATGTTGTGAGCCCCATGGACCAAGTCATCCATATAAAATGACTCTTCTAGGACCTTTGCTGCTTCTGGATACTTGCTCCTTTCATCGCTAGCCAACTGTCTCAAAGTCATCATAGCGAGAAATGGAGCTGCTTTCGTGCCATATGTGACAGTTTTTAATTGATAGTCCTGTAGTATATCTGTGGGGCTCTCCCTCCACACGATCTTCTGTAAGGCCTGATCATCTGGATGTACTAAAATTCCGCGAAACATCTTTTCGATGTCTGCCGTAAAAGCAAATTGAAATTGTCTCCATTTTAGTATAAGGAACTGAAGGTCTTGCTGTAAATTTGGGCCCTTATACATTAGATCATTCAAACTTTGGCCACTTGTAGTTTTTGATGACGCATTGAATACTACTCTTAATGACGTTGTTGTTGAGTCACGCAGTACACAATGATGCGGTAAGAAACATTCGAGTTTCGTGTTACCTAAAGCTCGTGTCATATGACCTAACGCTAAGTACTCGTTTATAAAGGATTTATATTCAAAGGCGATATTTTGATTTGTTGCAAATTTTCGTTCCAAGTGGCTAAATTGGGCAATAGCTTTCGACTTTGATTTACCCAACTGTTCCTCAATGCCCGTTTTAAGAGGGAGCCTTACTTCGTATCTTCCGTCTTGCAATCGGCGCGTGGAAGACTTGTAAAATTGTATACATCTTTCATCATCCGAAGAAAGAGACGTAGATTCGGATATTTCTTCGGTTTCCCAAAATCTACGTAACTGATCAGTGTCAACCTGTATAACGTTACATTGTAAAGTTTTGTTCACATGTCCACACAAGATCCACCCAAGCTGCGTTTGTTGAGCAACGGGAATGGTGTTGTCTAATCGGCATATGCCATCCATAATTATATTCGAATATATGTCAGCGCCAAATAATAAATCAATAGGGCTGCTGATGTTAAAATCTGGATCGGCAAGGAATATATTGTCTAAGTATGCCCATGTTGGCTTAGCGAAACTGTGAGTCGGTAAACTTTTTGTCAAGTTTTTCATGATAAAAACATTTGTATTGAAAGTGTAAGAATCATTCCGGGAAGTACAGTTTATGGTAACAACTCCTTTGCAAGCATTATTTTTGTCTCCGATACCCGTTATCACATTGTTACATTTTTGTCGCGGTAATGATAATAGTTGTGCTGCATTCTCTGTTATGAGGGAAGTTTGTGAACCCTGATCAATCAGAGCTCTTAATCTAAGGTATGACCCATCCATTTTTTGAACCTTGACTACTGCTGTCGATAAAAGTATTTCTGGAACTTCTCGTTTTTGTGCCACGTGCGAATTAACTTGATATGCTTGCTCAGCGGATACACGTGCGGTATCATATTTTGCTAGAGCAATATTTTTTGACTTAGTTGGGGATTGCGTAAATGCTTCGTGTAAAATTGTATTATGATATCCGGTGCATTCACGACAACGTTTTGTTGAAAAACATGCCTTACCGTTATGATTGTATAAGCAGTTTTCGCACAGTTTGTGCTTGTTAACAAATTGTATTTTATTTACTGGAGACATCGCAGTAAACATTTCGCAATGATATAGACCATGTTCATTTTTGCATAATGGGCAGATTTTATTGTAATTTGATTTAGTATTTAATTGCGAAACTACTTTATTACTTGAATACGTTTGTCTGAAGTTACGAAACTTCTGATTGTTATTGGAATGATTTTCATGTAATAATTTTGAGTTAGAATTTACAGATTTTGTTTCCTGTTTACGCTTTGAGGACTCCATGTTCGTGAATTTGTTTTCCAAAAAGTCTAAAAGGTCCTGTAAAATCGGTAATTCACGTGGTTGTTTCAGAGAGCCTAAATAATCATCGTGGGTCTCAGGGTCCAATTTGTTTGTTAATAGGAACACAAGAAAGGGATCCCACGTGCTCACATCTACTCCTACATTTTTGATCGCGTTGAGACACTCGTATGTTGTGTCGTGAAGGCGCTTGATATGGCTAAGGGATGCTTGTTGCATGACTGGAAGGTTCCACAGAATACTTAGGTGCGACATAAAGATACGCTTTTTGTTATTATATCTATGGTTCAGAATTTCCCAACAAGTAGTGTAATTTTCTGAACTAATCTGTAAATGTTGTATCAACGCTTCTGCCTCCCCCTTAACTTTACTTTTAAGAAATTGCATTCGCTGCGCATTCGACAGCGACGGGTTGTTATGTATTGTCTCCGTGAATAAATCTTTAAAGGAAACCCAATGATTATAATTGCCTTGAAATGTAGGAACATCCATCTTAGGGGTTGACTTATCCCTATGTGCTACTGACCACAACTTGCTATTCAGTTTCTTTTTCATGCAATTAAAAGCTGTTTCATAGGCAGAATAAGCGTCTTCGTATGACTGGTCTTTACCATCGAGCTCCCCATCTAACTCCCAGTGAAGGGAGTCAATAGCAGACCATCTCGCCTCTAAAGATTTTAATGTATCCTGAAACTCCCACCTTTCTCTTATGCTATCTATGTTTATGTTTCTGATTGCGCGTGAAAAAGCCTTAAAGTTACTGGTTTGCTTTTTCATCCAGTCATCCAGTTTGCTATTTGTACCTTGAGACCGAAACATTGGAGCCGCGGGTAAGGATTTAATTTCGGTATCGGCCGTATCCTTGGTATGCTGTTCCACGCTCACCCCGACCGATGTGCCAGCCAAAGGGGTCGCGGGTCTCAAAACTGATGATGTAGTCGTTTGCTTTATGTACTCGTGAGTAGATATATAAAATTCTTTTGTTTGCTGATAGCGGTTTTTAGCGAAATACTCTAAAGATTCGTCCTTAAAACCGCTCAAAGTAACATGATTCATCTGAAATTCCTGCCAATAGGCATCTAAAGTCTCCAGACGTCGCTTGACATAGTCTGGAGTCCTACGCTCATGCCCAGTTTTCTTAAAATTAACTAACAACTGGTTCATGGCCACCATTATTTGATTCTGGTTTTCTGCAAGATCCTCCATTGTTTGGCTCATGATGTACAGAAAAAAAGGAAAGATCTTACTTTAATACTGCTGACTGGAAGCCAGGCTGTACGTGTGCTGCTGTGCTTACTCCTGGGGCTGCTCTTAGCGTGAAGTGACGCTGATAGTGACCACAGGTACGCTGATAGTCAGTAACCGGACGCACGATATATTCTTGATCGAACACTCGCGTTATAGTCCCGTGTTACGGTTACACTCGAAGGACCATTAATGTAGGGGTAGTTTCCCTAACATTACTGATAGATTGCTGGTTTGATAAATGAGTAGACAACTTTACCGAATGATGATTTTATTGCTACTAAATTATGTACAAAAATTATGTATGTAAAGTAAGTGCCTATGTAATACGAGTGCAATACAAATGAGTGAACGCAAGCTAATTTCATTAACTACTACAAATGTGCGGGTTTGCTCGTACATCAGCCTATCGCAGTCCACTGCTGGACATAGGCCCCTGCAATTGCATGCCACTTATACAAATACAATCTATACAAATAAATAAAATCGAAGTGTCTGTTTATAATTATAATGTCAAAATAATAGGTTTTTTTCATGCTCACACGGTTATTTACACGATACCTATGCCTAAAAACCAGTATAAAATTTTTTTGTCTGTCTGTCTGTATGTGCCGGGTAATCTTCAAAAACGGCTAAATCGATTTTGATTATCTTTTACTACCAGGTAGCTGTCTATATAAGGAGTAACTTAGGCAATTTTTCTCTCAGAAAACCCCTATAAAATTTTGCCCGGTCAGGGAATGTTTTATCGTTTTTTACTCTATGCACATAATAATATAAAAACAATAAACATAATAATATAGTTTAGGCACTAGGCTATCAGAAAATGGCCTACGCTCTACGCTGTTTAACCTTAACAACCTGCTGGGTTCAAGAAAGGCAGATGTTTCGTTCAAACTTTAGGCATTTTAAAGAAGTAACTAGCCCTCTCTCCCTGCTTTTTATGTCTACTTAAACTTATTTCTAGTTATCCTCTTCCGTTAGGATTTAGATTATGCTTAGAGAAGTCTTCTTAAAAAAAAATAACCTTGTTCCAGCGCAGTGGTAGCTTGTGCACGAACACTGTGGTCGTGGTACGAAAAAGTCCAGCACCACTCCCAAGGATACAGCGCAGTTGGAATCCAGAATCCCAAACCACCCTCAGTCCTGGTGGCTCTAGCCAAATTAGGCATCATCATGTCATATTTCTACCTCTGTGATAGAACCAATTTCTTCATGAAGGAGAATAAATATTACTCGGAATGGAGTTTTTGGTTGCCGGTTGGTTACGTCTTCGTGTTGGGGCTGTTCTTCACTGACCAGAGCCGGTCGAACCGGTAAGTGTATAATAGGTTAGAGATACAATACACTAGCTAATTTTTATAAATACATACATGTTATGGACTGGCCCGTTGGTCCAGTGCTTGGTGATAATGACTTCGGTGCCAGTGGCTGTTGGTTTGGTTTACCATGTTGGAGGCAGTTACGGCTTACTCAGGATAGTTGATTGTCTGATGAGTACGAGCAGTTGTATAGTGTCCAGGTGTTATTTGTCTAAAATAGAGCCCATACTATGGTAAACACACTAGGTTACGATAGTATGGGCTCTATTTAGGTTAGGATCAGACGGCCATGTATGAGATGTGTCAATTTTATTTTTAAAATTTATGGAATCAGGAACTGGTTCAAATCAAATAAACGTAATGACGTATAAAAAAGTTTAGTGGGAATCGAATCATCGACTACTGACTTGGCAATAAAGGACTCTGCAGTCAAATTGGAGTGAGATGATGCACCAAATATCAAAGAAGAAAACTAACATCATAGATGGTTTATTCCAGAGTCCTTCACCGCGAACAAACAGATGAATGGAAGGGCTGGATGCAGCTGGTCATCCTAGTCTACCAGGTGACTGGAGCCAGTAAAATTCTGCCCATATACATGCTGGTTCGAGCCTTGGTGTCTGCCTACCTGTTCCTCACCGGCTATGGACATTTCTACTTCATCTGGAAGACGGGAGACACTGGGCTCGTCAGATACTTCAGGGTTATATTTCGCCTGAACTTTCTGACGGTGGTGCTGTGTTTAACGATGAATAGGCCGTACCAGTTCTATAGCTTCATACCCCTGGTCTCGTTTTGGTATACTTTGGTGAGTGGGCTTAAATTTCTTTAATTAACATTATCTAAGATTTTGATCTTTCCTTCCTTTTAATGAAAGAGACCACGGATAGACGTATTCTGTACGCGCTTCTGTAAATTAGATCGGCCACCTTGATCAATAGGTGACCAAGTCTGCCGAAGTTCACGGCAATTTCCTTTCAACGGTACACCTGAGGCTGCGGTCATAGGATCCGATGATGGAACACAGTCTAGTTAGATTCTGACATACTACCTTATTAACAAAAAAACTTAATGTAAACATAAAGACAGGTATTTGACAAACATTTAATTGGTCCAGCTGTGTCTCTGGTCTAGTGGCTTCTCCAATCGTTTGAGGTCGTATAAGTACATGACCGTGCCTTTGCAAGCTACTGCAGACTTAGCCCCATTTTGCCATCTGAGACGATTCCCATGAGAACGATTACGTTCCCATGGAGTATCGACGTAAGACAGTAACGACGTATGCGCAGACCCATATTAAATTACAAAGATGATCTTGATGACGTATAACGCATTGGCGGAGACTACTACGGATTTATTTTGCATTAAACATGTTTCTTGTTACAGATGTTTGCCATTTTTGCCCTCCCACCTCACATAACGCCCTCGTCCAGTCACACAGTGGAGTCCAAGCCCTATCAGTACCTGTACATAGCCGTAAAGGTGATAGGCTTGCTGGTGATCGTCACAGTCTTGTACATGAGCGAGGTGTTCTTCCAGAAGATCTTCGTCACCAGGCCTTGGAAGGCGCTGTTCGTTAACTCTGATGATGATATACATCAGTGGTGGTTGCAATGGAAGCAAGATCGGTGAGTGGAAATATTTTCAGTTGTAATTATATTCCTCTCGCTTTCCTGAAATATGTGTTAGTGATTTCGTTAAAAGACCAATGATCGCGCGCTATTTGTTTTGACCAATGAGCGCGCGCTATTTGATTTGACCAAGAGCCCGCGCTATTTAACTAATGAGCTCGCTATTTGATTTGACCAATGAGCACGCGTTATTTGATTTGACCAATGAGCCCGCGCTATTTGATTTGACCAAGAGCCCGCGCTATTTAACCAATGAGCGCGCGTTATTTGATTTGACCAATGAGCCCGCGCTATTTGATTTGACCACGAGCCCGCGCTATTTGATTTGACCAAGAGCCCGCGCTATTTGAAGAATTCTTGTTATTCTAGAAATGAGAGAATCTTTTATATTTTTCTAAGGACGTTACAATCCTTACTAGTTGCAACTAATAGTAATATAAATGCAAAACTCATAGTAGGAAGTGCAAACTTGTCAAAATGTCCCAATGCTTGGTTTGTGTGGGCACTGCCGCCAAACTCGGATAGCAACTTACTAAAAGTTTTCTTTTACTACTAAGATTGTAAACAAGCACCCGCTCTGATTAAAACGAAGAACAATTCTTTTTGCATTTTTAACATCCAAACTCACCTTTTCGACTGCAATATATTAATAATATTCTGTCCTCCTTAATCTACGCCAGCGTTTCTTACTTCAATTAAAATCTGCTGTACTCTTCATAGTTCTGTTAATTTTTATTAGTTGCTTTAGGGGTCATGGGTTCGATTGCTGGTCAGTGAAAATTTTTGTTTGCAGAATTATTCTGTATTGTCTATATAATTATTCCAATTCCAGGTACTCAATGGCATACGGCATCATGTTCGCCCTGGCCTACCTCCTCGCCCAGCGCTACAACCTCCTAGACGACAACAACCACAGCAACCTGTTCACCCCAGGAGTGTCCCTGAGCGCCACTCTCCTCGCCTTCATCGGACTCGGCAGCTACGTCACATACACGTTCTTCTGCACCAACACATTCGATTGCAACGAAATCCATAGCTACGTAGCATTTTTACCAATAGTCAGTTACATTATCCTCAGAAATGTGTCGGGAGCCCTTCGTATGAGACACTCTTCGATGTTCGCCTGGTTTGGTACGATCACGTTAGAATTATTCGCCAGCCAATCTCACATCTGGTTGGCGGCAGACACGCACGGTGTCTTAGTATTAATACCTAGTGCTCCCATTCTCAATCTCATTCTCACTTCGTACATCTTCGTGTGTACTGCGCACGAGATACATAAATTAACAGCGATCATACTTCCGTACGCGGTCCCTGATGATTGGAAATCTGTGTTGAGAAATTTTGCGATATTTCTGGCGATTTTAGTCCCTATTGGCATACATGATGGTATGTTTTAGCTTGAAAATTGAATCCTCCTGGTTATGTGGAGGTAATGGTGAGGAAACAGACTGGAGACCCAGTACGGCTTTGTAGAAAGCGCGAACTTTAGGGCACGGAGCATCGATTAAAAGTATGTACAAGTTGATAAAAATATTTAATTTGTATATAATGTAAAATATTATCAATCTTTTGATTTTTTTTGTAGCGTTGTCCAACGAAAAGCAATTATCTACACTAATAACACTGGTCAACAAAAATACACTTTTTGCATGTAACATGAAAACCATTGTCTAGTTATGTTAAGGACAAGGATAAGGATAATAGAAATAAAATTAGAATGCTTCAAATACAAAGATTTGTTTGTAATTTCATTAAATTTTTGAAATTATCAGTTTTTATCAACAAAAAGAAGTTATTCTGTTATATTACAACATGAATATAAATGTAGCCTTATGATTTTGGTCTATATTTTGCTTCAGGGACATCTCATTTTAATGTCCAACAGTAATTCACTACCATACGTCGACTCCACTTGCCCTGATATCGTTTTTCTATGGTTGAAATATTTGGTGGCATCTTTCACCGTGTTCATTGCTGACGCCCAAATTTTCAGGCTAGATTTTTTAATGTGAATGAAGAAAATGTATTTTTAACTACATATTACAGCCCAAAGCCTTATAAGTAGATAACAGCTCCACGACAATCCTTTTGTAGTCACTTGATCGGTGAAGTCCTAGAAAATTGCTTTACACTTTTCTTTGAATATGTCATCTTGCACCAATTGTCTGATTTGAGGGCCAACAAGGCCAACTGCCTCACTCAGTTTAGGATTTTTTTTCAGGATCTAATGTGTCGTTTTCGATTGTTTATGGCGTAGTGATCAGAACGGAATTTGAAGTGGTTCTGGTACAGGTAGTTCTTCACTATGAGGGATCGGTCTTATAGCCGATGGCAGGTCAGGAGACTTAATTTTACTTTTTGTTTCAATTATAATACCTTTTGTATCAGTAAGCCAAAAATAACAATCAGATGAGTGGTTAGTTGGTTCCCTCCAAATCAGTCAAAAAGCATAGATCAAGAGTTTGTCACACAATGTAACACAATAGACGTGTAGAACCCACACTTTATCTTCTTGTCTGATGGCAAAGACAAAATACTGTTCATATAACTTAGTTACTGATGGTGTCAAGTTCCTTTGCTGAGTTTAAAAAAAAAATACACTTTCTTGACATTATTTAAAAATCCTTTAACTCAGAAAACAGAATCTTCAAATAAATAAATTCTCAGAATGCGAAAGTGAAACAAAAACGGTTAATTTTCAATTTTGTGATAGTAGCTGTAACACGAAAACGAGACCTGATGAAATCAAAATAAATATAGTGATAACTTGAGGGCAGGTAGGTAATTCAAAATTAGTAAGCACCTTTCTTGTTACAAAACTTTGTTGACCAGTGTAATATTTTCACACATTTCACAAACGGCCGTCTGATCCCAAACTAGGCAGACCCTGTGCTATGGTAACCAGACTGCTGATAAATATACTTAAATATTTCTAAATACATACATATTATAGATAAAGTACACCCAGACACATAACAAATGGTCGTGCTCATCACACAATTATTTGTCCTGGGTGGGAATCGAACCCACGACTTCTGGTGTAGCAGTCAGGGTCACTAACCACTAAACCAGGAAAAATCAGAACAAGAATTCTAACCAAAAGCAATTTTTACATTATTTATTTGAAAATACGGTTTTAGATATGATACCGCATTAGCAAAGGTATACAAAATTCAGAGATTATAGCTTGATCGATGCGTCACTATTTTCTTAACGCGAATGGACTGTTGGTCTATTAATGTCTCTTTCTTGAGCATTCTCTTATTCAGAACTGTCTAAAGATTATAAACAGTATTTTACTTTCAATATTTTCTTTAATTTTATATCTATTTAAATAATTTAGAATAGAAAATCAAACAACGAGTGCTGCCATCTATGTATCACTGTCGTTTTTGATGACAATTAAATAATGATCTCTACTCATTGCATTGCGAACCTTATGCTTTATATAAAAGAGCTCTTTTTGTTCCTATACTGTGATCTAAATAATAGAACGTTTTCTGGTCGGAATATGAAAAAGGTTATATACCTAAATCTGAAATCAATCTCAAATGGAATGAAATAAATGTATAAAATAATGTGTAAAAATATATCAATAAAAAATATAGTTATTCCAAAGTATACAGAATGTTACAAAACCCTGCAAACACATGCAGTTATTAATTCTGTGCGTTGTGTTCTGATCTAGGAGCTGTAATTCTCGCCTACAAAACTGTAACATCTGCTTATATGCATATCGCGGGTAGCATACCATAGCGCGATGTAGCCGTTTACTACAACGCCATCTATCGGACACAATCTTCAACTCATGATCAACATACATAATTATAATACTGTTACTTTGATTTTAAACAATAATTTTAGAAAAAAAAACGCCTTTTTAAATATGGAACACTTCTTTTGAAAATTTAAAAAAAAAAATGTAAATTTACTCGTAAAGCTTCGTCTCACAGTGAGCTGACGTGAATGAAACTATGGGTTATTTCATATTAATGATACTGATGGCAAATCGATATTTTTTTAAAAATATCTTTAACAAAATAATTAAAAAAACTAAATCTTAGAATTAGACCTAAATATTACTTTATTTTTCTACATACAAGTACAAAAACACACATAAGTACAGTTAGACATAAACTTCTTTTATTTTGGTAACAATTATTTTTATTAAAATTGGTTGCATAAAATTTAAGATAGTCCTGACGCGGACGGCGCAGGGCGCTAGTGTTTATTCAAATTGGATTCAGCAATTTTTGATCCTCAAACGGTTTCGCTCAACTTTAATTCAGAAGTATACTCCAATATACGAGGGGAGGTCCAAAAGTTCGTGGAATGGAGGGGATGGTGTGGGGATAGGGGCGCTCGCTTAGTGTCATACTAATTGGGGACTCATCATTAGTATATAAATTAAGTTTCAGCCCTATTGCTTCATTCGTTTATGAATATTCGCCTGCTAAACAAGTCTATCCGGAAGAAAACTGACTATGGAGAAAATTGAACACCGTGCTGTGATAAAATTCCTTACCAAGCAAGGAAAGAACGCTCAGACCATTGTGAATGAAATGCAAACCGTTTATGGGGGACAGTGCCCTAGTAAATCAATGATTAACAAGTGGCATGGTCTTTTTAAACATGGTCGGGCGTCGATTGAAGACGGTCCCCTCTCAGGAAGGCCAGTTGAGGCCACCACATCAGACATCGTCGAAAAAGTAGAAAAAAATGTACTGGAAGACACCAGTTTGAAGATAAAACAGTTATCTGCATTAGTTGGAGTATCAGATACCACAATTTTGCGAATTCTACATGACCACCTGGGTATGACAAAAGTCAGTGCAAGATTGGTACCGAGAATGCTCACGCCGCTTCAGAAACAACAGCGCGTCGATGCGTCAAAACAATATTTGGAGTTGTGTGGACACCAACCTGCACAGATTTTGGAGCGAATTGTTACTAGAAATGAAACATGGGTTCATTACTTTGAGCCTGAGTTCAAACAAGAGTCCAATGGCATAAAAAGGGTGCACCGCCGCCAAAGAAATTCAAAGTGTCGGAGTCGGCTGGAAAGTTGATGGCTACTGTTTTTTTGGAATTGTGAGGGGATAATACTCATTGATTACAAAGAAAAGGAAAACACCATAACCGGAGAATACTACGCAAAGATACTAGAGAAATTAAAGGAGGCCATAAAAAAAAAGTCGATGATAATTGCTCTTGCAAGACAACGCGCCGGTTCACAAGAGCAGAGTTGTAATGGCTGCTCTGCATAATCATGGCTTCGAAACACTGGTCCACCCACCCTACAGACCAGACCTGACCCCAAGTGATTTTTATTTGTTCCCCAATTTAAAAAAAGACTTAAGGGGAAGGAAATTTTCCGATGACAATGAGGTAAAGGAGGCAATTTTAACTCATTTTGAGGTAAAAGAGAAACAATATTTTTACGATGGTTTAGAAAAATTAATATATATAGATCTGATAAATTTATTCAGCTTAAGGGTTATTATATTGAAAAGGAAAAATAGATTTATTGTTTCATTTTTTTTAAACCCTTTCATTTCACGAATTTTTGGACCTACCCTCGTATTTTCAGATAATATTCTAACACTTACGTACAGTATTTTAGTTTGCAAACTGTATGTCGAACAAAATCTAATTATTACTACGATTGAAATAAAACAAGATTGATACATAAAATGTACAATTAGAAAATAAGATATATACGAGTAAATAAGTTTGTATATAAATATAAACCTAGTCTATAAACACAACAAAAGTTTTTAAAGTACACATCATCAACAGCCTTTAAAACTCCTTTAAACCTCCTTTCTAAGGAGACGCTTATGTCCAGCAGTGGACTATTAAAGGCTGTTGATGATGAAAGTACTCATACACGCAAGAAATAAAGAGTCGTCTGAAATATTTTGAAGTAACTTCGTTCTAATGATAATCCTTTCGCGAATATTGCAAGTGTTTTGATGTCACTTTTTTTGGGTAAAAAAAGACTGTTCTTCATTGCATAATGTAGGTTTTATGTTGATCATGTATTTTGTAAATACTGACTTGTTCAACTATTTAAGTTGCTCACTGTATATTATTTTAAATAATAATTATTTATTTTATGTAAATATTAGATTTGTCTATCTCTATTTCAAGGAGTGAAAAATTACACAGACCAACAATATTTTTACCCAGAAACTAGAGTATACTTTTAGTAGGATTTTGGTGCGCTGAATCCAAATCCGGGCGCAGAATTGCTCCTCTATCACGTTAGGTTTTTGAGATATTCTAACCAAATATTTTGAACCATTTCTTAGTTAAAGACTTGAACTTTAAGATACCCTGTGTACTTTTATGCATAGTAAAATTTGAAGGGTTACATAACCTCAAAAAATCTCAA